CCAGACCCGAAACGTCAGCTTTCCTGCTCCTCTGATGCTGCCTGGCCTGCTGTGTTCATCCAGCTCTACACCTTGTTATCTCAGACTCCAGCATCGGCAGTTCCTACTATCTCTCACATTAAAATAATCTGCCTTAGTTTCGCCTGCTCACGTAGTCTGCCGACATCCCCTTGTAACCTTCTGCTCCTGTCCACACAAAGGTGCTACATCATTGCAAATTTGCATTCATTCTTATAAGCTACACTCATCAACATCCAATTTCAACACCAGCAGGATCAATGGAACTCATGGACAAGACTGGTTCAAGTAAGAAAAGTAAGCACAGATTTAGAGACACAGAATCATAGAACTGTACAGCATGGAAACAGACCTTTCAGTCCAACTCGTCCATGCTGACCAGAAAATCTAGTCCCATTTGCCAGCATTTGGCCCATATCCTCTAAACTCTTCCCATTCATTTACCCATCCAGATGCCTTTTCAATATTGCAATTGTACCAGCCTCCACCACTTCCTCTGGCAGCTCATTCCATACACGCACCACCCTGTGCGTTCATCCTAACTTGTTCAACATTCTTGATGAGTTAAGAGAGAGGGTTAATGAGGGTAATGTGGTAATGGGTGTTTGATAAAATGCCATCGAATAGGCTTGCCTGCAAAGATTAAGCCCATGGAATAGAAGGGACGATGGTTGCAGGGGTACAAAGTTGGCTGAGTGACAGTGAACAGAGAACGGTCCTGGAAAGGGAGAAAATGAGGAGAGGGAATTCCACAGAATAGCGCAGTCCTAAAACTGACAGCAAATTTTGTGCAATGCTCTCAAATTAGCTCAGTGAACAGAGAGCAAATGATGACGGATAATTGTTCTCCAGACTGGAGGAGGGTAACACAGGGGGTTCCCCAGGGCTCCGTACTCCACCTTGGTCCTCCTTCGATCTATCGCGGTTACACAGACATGGGCGTGCACAGTAGAATTTCAATTAAGCAGACAACTCAAAACCTGAAAGTGCTGTGATCAGTAAAGAAGCTAGTGAAGGATTTTGAGAGAACATAGAATGACAGACTCGTACTACAGAGAAATGTGAAGTGATACCTATTCTTTGGAAAAATATGACATGGCAACATAAAGTGGAGGATACAATTCTAAAGAACCCAGGGGTACGTGTGCACCAATTCTAAAAAGTGCCAGGGCAGGTTAAGAAAGCTTTTAAAAGGGCAGAGATAGTAAGAATTGCAGATGCTGGAGAATCCGAGACAACAAGGTGCAGAGCTGGATGAACACAGCAGGCCAAGCAGCATCATAGGAGCAGGAAGGCTGAAATTTCGGGCCTAGGCCCGAAACGTCAGCCTTCCTGCTCCTATGATGCTGCTTGGCCTGCTGTGTTCATCCAGCTCTGCACCTGTTGTCTCTTTTAAAAGGGCATTCAAGATGCTACGCTTTATAGAAAAACAGAGACAG